GCCACTCTCACTCTCGATTTTCACAAACGAGGAAACTGAAGTTCAGAGCCAACACACGTGACAGCTAGGACTTGGACCCCAATTCATCTGACGCCAAGCCCTGGGCTCATAATCGTCATGCTCTAAGTCCCTCTCACTGATGTTTGAGGAACGTGACTTATTAGGTCCCTCAAACCTCCTTCCTTCTGCCTCATTCCTTCCCAGCCTCCCCACGTTCCTTCCTTCCCCCCTTTCCTAACATTCTTCCTCCTTTTCTTCCTTCCTTTTTTACATTCTTCCTTCTCTCACACTTCTCTCCTTCCTACATTTTCCTTTTTTCTTTTCACTCCCTGCACCCCTCTCTTCTCCTGTACTGGTCTGTTTTTATGTTGCTATAACAATACCTGAGACTGGATATTTATGAAGAACAGAGGTTCACTTGGCTCACGATTCTGGGACAGCTGCATCTGGCACAGGCCTCAGGCTGCTTCTACTCCTGGTGGAAAGCTGCAGGCAGCCCTTGCAGGTGGGTGCAAAGATCACATGGCGGGAGGAAGCAGGAGAGAGAGAGTGGAGACACCAGACTCCTTCCAACAACCAGCTCTTGTGGGCTGAACTCACTCACAACCTGCCCTGGGAGGGTTTGAATCTATTCATGAGGGATCTGCCCCCATGACTCAAACACCTCCCAACACTGCCATATTGGGGATCAGATTTCAACATGAGCTTTTGGGGGACAATCATATCCAAACTATATCACCTCCTTTCTGCTGTCCCTCCCTTTGTCCCTCCTTCCTTCAGTGAAGTGTCCCCAAGCCCTTCCCACTATGGACAAAAACAGGATCATCTTTGCACTGGTTCCCACATTGCCCCAGCTCTGTGACCACACATGCATAATCTCATAATCTCTTGCAAAGTTGCCCTTGTACACTTTTGGAAGTCACAGTTGTGATTGTGATAGGGTGGCACCATGTCCAGTTAGCTGTCACCATCTCCCACCAGTTCTTTGCACAGGAGTGAGTCAGTGCTTTGCCCCTACTGGCTGTGTGGCCTTGGGCAGATGACTTAACTCCCCCTGGCCTCAGGTTCTTTCTCTGTCTAATGGCCACCACAAGAATGTCCACCTCACAGGTCTGTCAGAAGAGTAGAAGAAGCTTCAGAACAGTACCTGGCACACAGTGAGCACTGTCTCCTGTCAGTCCTCACCCTTAGAGTTTAAATGCTGCAAGTCATGGGCTGGGGCTGCTTCAGTCACTGCTATACCTACAGAGCTACTGTGGCACCAAACACCTAGAAGGATCTCAGTGCATATCTATTGAATCAATGATCCGTCTCCAGACTGGTAACTCATCCCTCTGGAGAAAGGGGTTGATGATGATGAGGATGATGATGATAATTATAATAATAGCTCCCATTTCTTAAGCACTAAGTATATGCCAGGCATGCTGAATACTTTGACATGAAGTATTTTATTCATGTCACAACAACCTTGAGAAGTAGGTACTAATATCCCCATTTTATGGATGAAGAAAACAGAGGCACAAAAAAAAGAGGTCAAGTCATCTGCCTAAGGCTGCATAGCCAGTAGGGGAAGAGCTGGGATTTGAACCCAGGCAGCCTGGCTCCGAGCACCTACCTCTGCTCTGCTGATGGCCTGAGTAAATGAGCTGTTCTGACAGACAAGGGTGATGAGATGGGGCTCAAAGGACCAGAAGCCACAAGGAAGGGGCTCCAACATGGCTGGGATAGGCAGCTTTTGATGGCAGATGTGCGATAGAAGTTAGGCAGAAGTTGTGGCTCAATGGACCCAGGTAGCTGTAGAGAAAGGGTGGGGTGTTTTCCCTTCAAGAATATCTTGCACAACAAAAGAAACAAATAACAGTTAAAAGACAACCAACAGAGTGGGAGAAAATATTTGCAAAATATACATCTGACAAAGGATTAATATCCAGAATATACAAGGAACTCAAACAACTTCACAAGAAAAAAACAACCCAATTAAAAAATGGGCAAAAGAGCTAAATAGGCATTTCTCAAAGGAAGATATATGTATGGCCAACAGACACATGAAAAAATGCTCAGCATCACTCAGCATTTGGAAAATGCAAATCAAAACCACACTGAGATACCATCTCACCCCAGTTAGGATGGCTAAAATCCAAAAGACTCTGAACGAGAAATGCTGGCGAGGTTGCGGAGGAAAAGGAACTCTCATACATTGTTGGTGGGACTGCA